ATAAGAGGATGATCGTGAGCCACGGAACAAAGCAGAGGCAGCCCGATACATTTTGAGGGACAAATCAGACCGTTTGATTTTTTTAATACTAATGTAGTTTTTTTAATTCTTTTTCTCCCTAGTTTAAATATACACTAGTTTAAATACTAAATTTTAATCAAATTATTTTATTCTCAAATTTAAAATACATCTAAATCCTCTAAGATTTATCATTTAATTACTTAAATTCTCTTATATTTAAAATTAGTTAATAAAATAATTTTTGATAAGAATCCGTTAAGACCTAATATGCATTCACCTCACTTAACACAATCAATATAGCTAAGTATCGGTTGTAGAGGTTCCCTGATGAGTGCGCAAAAGTACATTCTAAATATTTTATTATTGGATTAAAATGCTAAAATATGGATATAAATAATTAGATATAATTTATATTATTGAACTTAATATTTATTCACATTGAGATATATTCGAGTATGATTTTATAATATTTTAAATTTCAAATATTGCTTTATTGGTTGGTGAGAGGTAATTTACGATGAGCTTTATAATTAACATTTTTTTTAAATTTTATTATTTGATTTTTATATTTGTTTTTATTTTGATTTTAGCCCATAAAGTAAAATAATTGAAACTGATCAGCTGTCATGGTGGACCCAACATTCACCAGATTTGAGCTTTATTCTTTTCAACATGTATGTGGATTTGGATTTTAGGGGCTGAAGTAAAAAAGTTGAAATTAAAAAGGGTTGAAATAGAAAGGCTGGAATAAAGAAGGAAGGAAAAGATATGTTTTTCAAAAGGCCAAGACTTTTAAGTCTTTTGGGGGCTTTGGCGGCTGCGTTTTTTTTTTGCTTTTCTTTATGTATGGCGGCCGGTATAAAAAAGAAAAGAAAAGAAACGAAACAGAAGACAGCGGCTAGCGGCTATCTGGGCTGGGAGCAGACGCAAATCAGGGGTGGAGAAAAGCGCCGACGACGGCTAATTTGTTCTATTTTTTTTTGGAGATTTTTTATTGTCTATTATATTTATAAATAATTAAATTCTTAAGGTAGGACGATGGATGAACTTAGATGATATTTTATTTATTTTTAATTTATGTATTTAATTTTTATTGAATAAAACTCTTTTGTTTNAAACTTACACAGTAGATGATATTTTATTTATTTTTAATTTATGTATTTAATTTTTATTGAATAAAACTCTTTTGTTTTATTCAATTTTTTGTTGATATTTTCTTCTCCGAATAATCATAGAATTTATTATATTTATGGATTCTGTCATACTTTTTCCATAGAATGGATTAGATCTTTGATTATGTTCGGATCAATTATTTATCTATATTGATTTAATTCTTTGCTATAATATTGCTTTCTTGAGTATATTATCGTTGTTGAATTTTTTCAATAGTGATAATAATTTACGTATTTTAAAAGTGGTGAATGATTTTTCAAAGGGTTACATATGGTTTAATCTTGGTTTATAAATCTATATATTCCGATTGAGAATTTTGGGAATTGAGTTCCTAGTTGAGTTATTCAATGAATTAAAAACAATTAAAATACCAGATTTGTGTAAGAGATTCTCAACGCTTTACTGTTTGTCAAATTTGAATATTTTTTTCATTAGTCACTTTACTTCACTTTAATTTGCATTTAAAATTAATCTTTATTATCCAGTAATCTTTTAATATTTTTCTTTAGTTTCTTTATTTATTCTATTATTCTTTTAATTTGTCTTTCTGTGGAATCGACATTCAAAACCGTGTTACAATTACTGCATTATTCTTTAGGCGTAATCATTCCCCAAGCAATATGTTGGACTACTTACCCAAAAGAACTATATCTTGAGCCAAGAGGGCTGAACCATATGTGAAATGAACTAAAGAATTATGAGACCCAATCACGCATTGTATACATATTAATATAATTTTGTAGGCTAAGTTACAATTATATGAAGTTAGTAAAGGGTTAATTAAATTAATCTTTCATAGCCATGATGTATGTGTGGATGCATAGGAGATGTGAACCTCATTAGTGATGTATTTGTAAGACCCATTCATAAGAGTTTTCTGTGTGAAAATATTAGTGGATCGATTTTGAAATCATTTAAAAACTTGGGAGGAGGCAAGGGTAATTAACCAATTACCTTTACAGGTGTTGACACGTGAAATATATATATATATATATATATATATCGTGTGTGTGTTTTAAGGTGTCAGGTGTGTGTGTGTGTTTAAGATAAAAAAAAAAAAGTGTTATGGTTTTGGGCTGAAGCCTAGAGAGTGAGAGGAGAACAAGAGGGAAAAAGAAAGAAAAAAAAAAAAGAAAGAGAGAAGAAGACATCAAGGAAAAAAAAAACGTATTTGCGTCCATTTGAACTGTAAACAAGGAAGATATAAGGATTTAAGTTTTAAATTGTGATTAATTTTAGTATGTACTAATTTGTATATGTGTGGGTTGTTTTAGCATGTTTTAATTAGTAGGTTATTTTAATTTAAATACATGAGCTGCCTTATTGTATTTTAATAAGCTGTCTTAATTCAAATGTCATGGGTTGGTTTAGTTACAGATTTTGTATGGTTGTAATTAAATATATTTAGCATAATTAACGGGCTGTTAAAAAAAATAGGTTCCAAATGGGTATTAAAATAAAGATGAGAAAAATGTAGAATATGGTTATTTGAGATGTTCGGTATGTTTTTGAGGGCTAGGTTGGAAACGAAAATTTTGGGAATGAAATGAGTGGTTTAAAGGGCCAATTTGGGGCTGTTTTGTATTGATTAAATGTGTATGTAAATTTAAGTGTAACGGTTTTAAATAAAAAGTGCGATAGAAGTGGGAAACGGATGCCGGTAACGTCGAAACCCTAATTTCTAAATGTTATTATCATATGTGCGAATTTAATCCAAATAACCTGAAATTTTGCATGTAGCATTTTTAAATAATGCTTGATGCGATAATGTGACTTTTGAATGCAAATGAGTTTAATATCCGATGCGAAATGTATGAAGTGTCGGAAGTGCAATTTTTAGAATTCGGGGGCAAAATGTGTGAAAATGGACTCTCGATCAATGTGTTTAACCTACTTAATCCTAATTGTAATTAATGTGAGTGATTTTGAGAATTTGGGGAGGAAATGTGATCCTTAGAACAAAAGTGCTAATGTGTGACTAGATAGTTCAGTAACCGGGGCACTTTGAGGTGCATCATTTTCAGGCATTAGTGCATGATTAATTATTAAATGTAATAAATATATTGATATTGATATTGTAATTGTGTTAGGTGGAACGGGTGAAACAATCGGTGTTGGAACAAATATGATAACACCGAAAGGAACCACTAATAGGATCGAAGGGCCGTAGATTTATACATCTGAGGTGAGTGTATATCTTTATATGTTTTGAAAATGTTATTATCAGATGATAGTAAGTGATAGAATTTAATAGTAATTCTTTAGGATTATGTGCTACGTGCTTATGTGATTGAATGATGCTTTGTACTGTGTATTGTGTATTGTGGAATGTGACGTACTGTTTGAGACAGGGGCGTCGATGCCTGGTCATTAGGTGTGCAGTGATGTGCTAGCACTATGGTGTTCTCGGGAGGTTCAGGAGATACAGATCTATGTGGGATCGATTACCCAATGAGGAGTAGTGTGGATGTGATGTGGGTTTTGAATTCTTTAGAATTAGATTGATGTTGTTGTTTGATACGTGTATCTACGTAGTATTTATCTACTTCAGTGTATTATTATCATTTTCATTCCATATACTGCATGTATAATCACTGAGCGCGTGGTTTAACTCACACCCCTACAATTTCTTCTTTCAAGTACTATAAAGAAGGATGCAGACCAGTCCATTATCCAGTTGTTTGAGTCTTGTGCAACGTTAGTGTGATACCACTTAGGTTGAGTGCCAATATGACTAACTGTTGGACTGTGTATTATATTTATGAGAGATATTTATGGCAGGTTAATAGTATATATTTATAAATAGACTCTACAAGTATACTATGTGATGTATGCTATGTGGGTGTGAGATTTTGTATATGCATATAACCTGAAAAATAAATGATTGGTACATGTGTTATATATAGTATAGGTTATCAGACAGGTTTTATCATCATGCTTAATAACTATGGTGATGAGTGTTGTTGTTGCACCAGTGGGATTATATCATATTTGATTAGTCCAGCTTATAATAAATTGTTCATAGGTGTATGAAAAACCTAGTCGCATCTTATCCTTGAAAGACCGGGATGGGGCGTGACAAGAATAGTTATTTTGTATCTGGGAACTATAGTCTAGGCAGAAACATTAGGACATTTTTCTTTGGGTCTAATCCACTTCGATGGGAGTGCGACACTAATGGTGACAGTATCAGATCGTATAACAATTGTGTATGTTAAATCATACTAGTTAGTACTAGAGATAAATAAGAATCAATACAGTCATAACACAATACGATTTGACTTGATTAATTTTTTACTTTTTTAAAGGAGTGGAGTAAAAGAGAACGCTAAATAATCACTTCAATAGGTTCTCACGGGTGAAATCATGAAGCCCCTGATCGCACTCATTACTCATTTTGGGATCGGACTTTGCTAACATGGTGGTTAACCACCAAGTTCTAATGTGGAGTGACTTGATTGATTGAAATATCTTTGTGTCCTCCTGTTTCTTCTGTATATTAATAAAAAATAAAATGTGCCCTAATCAACGATTACAATCAGCATAATTTTCCTTGGCTTAAAGTTCTCGGGACAAAAATGAGGTAAGCATGCACAGATGAATGTATTTGAAAGTAACAAACTTTCTTATCAATTTTATTTATAAGGGGTTGAAGGGTGAGGAGATAAGATAACCCCAATCCTCATTGCATACATACTTAATTATTCCAACTAAAGATAAACTAGAAACTGCCAACACGAGTTGAACTCTTATTTCCATACACACTTTGGCACATCAGACTGACTTTTTAAAGTTCACCCACTATTTTAGACAGGCAAGATGTTGTGTAAAGAGGGCCAATAGGCAAGGATCTTCTTGATGCCACCAATGATGTAGTCATCTGTGGTGCCGGGAGCAAAGTTGATGCGTGCGTAGTAAGGTCCTTTGAATAGGTATGCCTCATCAGTCTTATGCGAAGCAAAGGCTGCATCAAATCCACTTTCAAAGATGGTGTTTGCCAAACTAGGAAAGCCTTGCTTGATGAGACGGATGGAGATAAGGTGGGAATCATAGTCGTAGTTTATAAGAGCATACTGGTTGCCTTTGAAGAGGTATGCTTCATATTTTTTCGTTGACTCAAACGCTGCATCTACGCCGCTTTCAAACACCGTCCCTTTGAAGAAGGGGAACATTTCAGTGATGGTCATCGGTCCTTTGATTATCTTGTCATTTGAGGAGTGTGGTGCGTAGTTAATCTGTGCACAGAGATTCCCAGAGAAGATGAATGCTTGATCCTTATGATGAGATCCAAAAGCACAGTCTATTCCAGGATCTGCAAAGGCTGTGCCCTTGAGGGATGGATACCCAGCGCCAATAAGAAGTGGTCCATACAACACCTTGTCGTTTGTCGTGCCTGGAGCATAGTTCACTAGCACATACTCGTTCTTCATGAATAGATAAACTTCATTTTCACAAGATGAATGAAATGCAGCATCTATGTGCGACATTTTCTTCTCTCACCTATACAACTAATTTAAAAGAGATGTAAATCATTACGCTTATTAGTACTGAACATCAAAAAAATTTGAATATTATTTCTAATCATAACCAACTCATACAAAGTTAGTGTAAGACACAAATAATAAAGTACCTGCACTACATATTTTTTGTTGGAATTAACCATTCATATTTATAAGATAATATGAAAGAAAAACAAACATAATTGCAAATCCATCTAGAGATTTTTAGAAATTACTAGTCCGCGCAAGAAAAACAATAACACAGGCTAAGAGAATGTGCTCAAAAAAGCCATGTTGATAATTAAAAACATAAACTAATACCATAATCTCAAAAAACGTGAGCATGCTCCAACCCTTTTTCTTTTTAACACAAGAACATACTCCTATATATATATATATATATATATATATATATACAAATTGCACCTAGTGTTTGGTCAGACATTATACCAAAACCATGCTATGATCTTGCATCAAATGACCAACATGATAAAACTTCAACGCAGAGTCACTCAACACGAGCTTAAAACTAACATCAACAAGAGACAATAACGTCAAACTATATTACCTTAACCGAAATAAAGCCCAACAGACTTTGATAGGTGATCGATGAGGGAACCTGAGGGACTGGGGGGTTTATATAGACATGGTTAAGCCTTAGCCACAAACCATGTGTAGGTCAGCAAAATGATCATACATAAAAGTCTACAAAAGAGGTCTAAAAAATGGGTCCCGTCGAATAGGATGCCAGTTTATCGCTTCTCATTTTGTGATTTCATACATTTGAAAAAGATTCAGAGTCTGTTTGGCGCAAGGTTTAAAAGTTCATTGTCTAAAAGTCCATCATAAAGATGTAAGTGCTTCTGTTACACCTTCATCATAGGATGCCAGTTTATCCAAAAGTTGATCTGCAAAATGTCCATTCTAAAGAAATTCCTTATGGAAGCTTCTCAAAACCATCCTATTCGTACTTTTGGGGAAGTGATTTTTAATTTCAACTTAATTTTCAAAATTAGCCTTAATTTTTACAATTAAATATCTATTTTAACCCTAATTCATAAACAATTTATATATCTTAGATTAAAAGATAGAAAGCCAAAAAAAAAAAATCGTACTAAAATACTAATTGTAGATAAATATGACTAGATAGTTGTAGATAAACATTAGTTCAAAAATACTTCTAAAACACAATTTTACCAAACATTTAGGTATTTTAAAAAGTGCATCTTAAAATGTTCATTTTAAAAAGTCCATCTTAAAGATAAACTTTTACTTTGAAAAGTTAAGCCAAACGCAACCTTAAATTCTTTGTAGATTTTTTTGTTCTATATTTTATAAATTAGAATTTTAATCTATACTACTACTAAAAGTACACTATTTGATGATGCACAAATTTGATTATGCACAGTCAAATTAGTCGAGTGTATGGAGTACAAATTTGATTATGAACAACCAAATTAATCGAGTGTATGAAGTAAAATAATAATGAAACAATTAATAATAGAAGACAGAGATTGGATGGTTTGGTGGCCGAAAAAATTTATTAATGAGAAAATATGAGGTAGCGGAGGATAGAGAATGGGCAAAAGTACGCTCAATGTAAGATGTGTGAGATCTCTGCTCCAATTTATAGGCATATAACCTCAGCTGTGGCGGTGATGTGAAAGTCAAGCAGCTAATTTATTGGGGAGGATAGTTATAATTGGAGATAGACACTATCTTGTAGTAATGATTATCTCGATGATTGCTCTCCCACGTGCATTGACTCTCCTTGGATTCCTGAGCTCTGGATTAGACTGAAGTCATGAGCTAAACCTGACCTGTTTTTTGATTATTTGGGCTCAACCCATGAACTGGGTCCAAACTTGGTCTAAATCTGGACTCGTCACTATCAAGAAAAATTTTTGTTTGACTATTTTATCCATACAAGAAAATATAAACACAATATTAACTATATTTAATGTAAACCTCATTTTAAAAAAACTTGATTAACATTAAATTTTGTTGGACTACTTTACAATTAAAATAAAGCATAAATGTAATACTAACCTTATTAATTCGAAATTCATATTAATACAAATTCATTAGTACTATACATATTCAAGTTTTTCCTCTTCCATTTCAAAAGCAACTTTAACTGTTAAAAAAAATTAGACTTAGTTTTATTAGTTAATGGTCAAACTATGAATAAAGACACGTTGAGCCTTATATATTATAAAATTTATTTTGATGTATCCTCAATAATCTTATCAAACCCCAACTTTTCATCTTCTATTTTACAATTTTAGTATCAATGCATCATCTTATTTGTAACAATAGAGTATGGTTGTTTTTACTTTTTTTTTTTATTTTTGTTGGATGATGACTAATACTATGACTGGTCATGATTAAATTGATTTGTTTACTGCAACTAACTTAATTACTTATTTCATTCCTACAACCTTACTTTCTTTTAATTGTGTATGATTATATGGCCACCATAGCTTAAAGCCCTTTTCTTTTTGTATTTTTTTTTACAATTCAACAAGTGTTCGTGTTTTTTAATTGTTATACATAAATCTGCATATCGTAATATGTATTTGTGTCATTACAATGATATTACAAATATAATTCATCTAAATTATAGTTTCATGTCAAAATTTATAAATCTTAGGATATAACTTTATAAGGAAATAATTACAGTTAATAAAAAAAGAATAAAAAATTATTTTCTTTCTTAAAATATTCCAGTATAAATCGTACAAATTGTAGCAAGTTTACTACATTGTTTGATTCATAAGTATTTATAGGCTATTGTATTTACATCATAATTTCAAACAATTACAAAAATAAAATTGAAGCAAAAATTATAATTTAAAACGATTCACGTGCAAANATATTTATAGGCTATTGTATTTATATCATAATTTCAAACAATTACAAAAATAAAATTGAAGCAAAAATTATAATTTAAAACGATTCATGTGCAAAGCACATGTGCATGATCTAGTTTATTTATAAGGTAGTAGAAGCACGAGAAGATAAGATAATCCCATTCCCCACTACATACATCCTTAATTATTCCAACTAAAGATAAACTTTAATCTGCTCACTCTTATTCGAAGAATGCCATCCACACCTTGGCATANTCCCCACTACATACATCCTTAATTATTCCAACTAAAGATAAACTTTAATCTGCTCACTCTTATTCGAAGAATGCCATCCACACCTTGGCATATGAGACTGGCTTTTTAAAGTTCATTGTGGTCACTGTCAGCATCAGGTGTGATCATGAATGTCAAGATCACAATTTTTGAGAGGCAAGATGGTACTTAAAGAGGGCCAATTGGCAAGGATAATATTCACTCCAATAATGTAGTAATCTGTGGTGCCGGGAGAAAGTTGATGTATGCGTATGAATCTCTTTTTAAGAGGTATGCCTCATCAGAGAGTGTGTAGGAATCTCTTTTTAATAAGTATGCCTCATCAGAGAAAGTTGATGAGTGCATAAGAAACTCCTTTTAATAGGTATGCCTCATCCATTTTGTGCGAGGCAAACACGACATCAATTCCACTTTCAAAGTGATCGGATGAACTCACAAAAATTAACAGAATTAATTTTTATACTCACTTTATGCAAATTAAATAAACGATACACTAAAATCAATCGATCAAAAAATAAAAACAAATAATAAATCAACAAGAAGTAAGGCAAGTTTTCCACGAGAGACACAAAGAGCCACAACTTAGAGCCGAAGAGATAGTAGTGTGAAGAGAGAAGAAAGAATATCACTGCTCGTACCGTAGCCTTCCTAGGTAGGGAAACTCTTGGAAGAATCTATAGTGGTCAACAAAATTTGGTGCAATTAATTAATTATTTAGGTGTAATAATGGTGACCTATGCCCATTTCACCCACTTATAAATCCTTTTTTGATCGTTGGAATTTATTTTGCCTGATGGTGATGGCACAATAAATCTTTATGCCCATTCGCCTACTCATAAAGACAGATATTATGCCATCCCCATCTGGCAAAATAAATACCAATGATCAAAAAGGACTTATAATTTAAAAAGGGGACAGGTTCTTGGATTTTGTGAAAAGACTTCAACCTGTGCCAAAATGTCCAAGATTTAGGAACGGTACCACCCCAACCAAGGCGTGTCGTACCGAAAGCTTGACTNAGACAGATATTATGCCATCCCCATCTGGCAAAATAAATACCAATGATCAAAAAGGATTTATAATTTAAAAAGGGGACAGGCTCTTCTATTTCGTGACAAGACTTCAACCTGTGCCAAAATGTCCAAGATTTAGGAACGGTACCACCCCAACCAAGGCGTGTCGTACCGAAAGCTTGATTCGAAGCGTAAGCAAAACACTGCCGTTTGTTATTTTAAAAAATCAAATTCAAGCTTGAATTTGATCAATGCTATTTTAAAAAAGCTTGAATTTTGATTTTTTCTTGATCAAAGTTAGACCATCACGCTTTTCAACAAAATTGATAAATTAATTGAATTATTTTTAGGTGGGCTTAAAGATATGAATTTTGTGAAGTACTACTAAATAGGGAGATATGTTTTGATTTTCANAAAATCAAATTCAAGCTTGAATTTGATCAATGCTATTTTAAAAAAGCTTGAATTTTGATTTTTTCTTGATTAAAGTTAGACCATCACTCTTTCCAACAAAATTGATAAATTAATTGAATTATTTTTAGGTGGGCTTAAAGATATGAATTTTGCGAAGTACTACTAAATAGGGAGATATGTTTTGATTTTAAATGAGAATAAAAATAGCTTCATCGAGTGTAAGAGAAATATAGCGTGTGATTAATTCCAGAGAGATAGGGAGTTTTTTTTTTTTTTTTAGAGAGAATTTAAGTACTAATGCTTTATATTGTTCAATAACTTTTTTCTCAACCAATTCATTTTTTGTGTGCAATAAATGAAATGTAGTGAATTTTGTATGGACTGGATGAGTATAGACCATTGAACATAAAATATTATAAATTTATATATTAGATATTAACCATACAATAAATAAACATATGAAATATGAAGCTTCTTTTATAGCTCAGCCTGAAGCACCTTTTTTTTTTTTTTTTTTCTCCCCTATTAAGTTGGCCCTATAACGAATGGAGAACGTTGATGGCGACTGTGGCGGAGATGCAGATGATAAGTGGCAAATGGTTGGGCTGGGTGGTCCACATGTATGAGTAATGACTGAGTCAGAAATATGTTTTAAGTTGGACATACTTCAACTATAAATTTTATTTTGTCCTCCAATAGGTAAAAGTAATGCAATACAATTTTGTTTTTTTACATCATATTTGATAATTAAAGATTGATTAAATATAAATGGACCAAAAACAAGTTTACAATATCTATGAAAAAAAAAAAAAACTAAAAAGAGGTTAATAATAACCTTTTATAAAAAATGAGGTTACTTATGTAAGAGATGTGATGAAAATATTAATGTCAAAGTCACAACTGATAATATAAATACCAAAGTTTGAAGGTTGTAGCATGCGACACTTCATTGATTAATGTATTTTGTTTGCTTTAGTGCTTTTTGTGAGAACTTGAGGATGGAGTGAGCTAGACCTTTTTTTTTTATTTAATATTTTTTTATTGTTGACTCCAAGAATTTCTATAGCCCATTTTATTTTTATTCCAATCTGGTAACCAAGAGATTTGTTCTCTCAATGAATCCCAATATTGTTTATTCAAAGTCGTTAGGGTGGACATAATTAAAGATATTTAAAAATACATAAAATATACATAGATTAAAAAAAAAAAATTCAGGGTGGGCCTGGTCCCTCCTAACCCATGTGTGCCTCCGCAACTGTGTAAGAGAGAGAGAGAGATAGAGAGGGCCCGACCCTTCCTGGCTCATCCGATCGCCCGAGTGAATCGATTTTGAAAGGATTTGATCGGACAACATTAATTAATTATGCATGGATGCGAGTACGAGCCATTAAATGTGTTGATGGAACTCAAAGATTTTGCAATAATTACTAGCCTAAGTATAAATATCCCTCCAAAAGATGAACAAAGATACGCAACATAAACTCAAAAAATATAGAGTACTAATGACTTCCATGCCGGCTGATTTGAGCATTGGAGGGGATTAACCTGGTGTTCACCCGGCCCCTTTCATAACCCTTTGATTGTTTCAAGTTTATCATCTTGCGAATCGCTATCTCAACATATTACAGGAAAGTACCCATGCACTGTCCCTAGTTGTTTGCAAATTCCATTATTTCGTGTATTAATTAAGTGTTTTTTGAATTTATCATTAAAACCTATACAAAATCGCTTTTGATAAAACAAAATTGAGTGGTAGTTTCGCCACTTGTTTTTTTTATACCTTAACTTTTTATTTAATAAAAAATATGTCAAAGATTAATTATTTATTTTATTAATTTTTTCAATCTATATTTATAAACTAGCCATAATTCTGTGCTTGAAGGTACGATATAATATAATTTTTTTTTCATTCTCTTTCTTGAATTCAAACACCTAAAAAATCGATCCCACTATTGAATGTCAAATTTTATTTCATTCTCTTTCTTGAATTCCATACTTTAAAATTAATTTGTATCAATCATTTTTTAAAAATAATTTCACAAACTTTTCTCAAAACACATTACCTCAAAAAAATAAAAAATAAAATCAATATCTATATAATATGAGAAATGTTATTTGAATTTAAAATGTAAACCCGATCAATCACAACCATTAAATAGATAATGAGTGCTAATAAATGCTGAGACCTACAATGAGATCAATGACAGTGATTGATTAAGTTTATATTTTAAATTCATATACCATTGCTCATATAATATTATACATGAACAATGCCTAAATTAAATGATTCAATTTGTGATAAAAAAAAAGGTAATGTGGTATAAATGAACATAAAAAATATGTAGGAATATAAACCACATGAGTTATGTTNGATTCATAATTATTGATTAAAAATAATCAAATAATTTTTTTACACATAATACATGTATATTAAATAAAAAAAAAAGTTATAATACCAACAAAAATAATTTTTTAAGTTTTATTTAAATTATATAATTTTTTTTGGGTAAACAACACTAACACCTTCTGTAAGTTAGTTTAATTATAGAGACACCCCTTAATTTTCTAAAATTACAACCCCGGTTAACTCTTGTCCTTTAACAAGTATAATAAAAAATGTGATTTTTCATAATTATTTTTACCATACATCATTTTTTACTTATTATCCTCTTATATATTTAAATACAAATAAATAGATTATTTTGGGGTTCAACCCACAAAATCCGAAATTGATATAATCAACCTGTTTATTTAATCATGTCGAACTTTCTCTATTTTCTCGTTTGTATGTTAGCATGAACAATACTAAATTGACACGTTCAACATGTTTAATTGATATTATAAAAATGAAATATTAATTATTTGTTGTTGTTTATTAAACACTGACATAATTATTATATAAAAAAGACATTTTTACTAATTATTATTGTTTTATTTATTAAGTTAATTAGAAAAAGTATGGACATAAATTCAATTAAGTGATAATAGAATCTTAGCATTAAATTTTTTTATTCAAGATTTATATGGATCAACATGAATACAAACACACCCGCACGGGTAGCTTAGTAGTATGGAGTTGAACCCAGACAAACCATAGACTCGGACGTTAGGGGTTTAATTCTTGCTAGTGTTTTTCGGGCTTAACTGATACCTGTAATATGCGGGTGATTGCAGATATTCAGGGTTTACTCTTTTAAGAATGAGGTCCAAAGTGGTCTTGCTTTGGAGGGATTCTACATTATAAAAAAATATATATATAAATACGAACACGAATACGATACGAAAATAAATAAATTAACTTAATTTTGTTCAATGGTAATATGAATATTAAAGTGTAAAAATTTGATGATGTAATCACTTTTGTGACATTGTATTAACCATAAGAATACTTTTTGAAATGAGAAAATAAACAATAAAAGGTGTCAGTATAATTTTAAAAAATTAACGAGTGTTTCTATAATTAAATCAATCTATTGGAAATGTCAGTGTAATTTAGCCTTGTCTTTTTAATATCGTACTGAACGGAACTATTCGTATCGCTGGAGAAGCAAGGCTCTGTGTCCTGGTTCAGCGAATTGCCGAGATTTCTGCAGAAGTGTTCAAAGCTGGCTAATCAGTCGGCCAGGTACGATTATCAGTGATGACGTCGCAAAGTCATGTTTATGTATTACTGTCACAGTGCTTCCTTTAATGAAAGATACAATGCATTGGACCACTCTCTCTCTCATTCATGTACCTTATTTTTAAACAGCAATGCTAGAGATCTAAATTTAAAATTACAAATGACATTCCAAATGAACACACACACACACATATATATATATTATTCTTATTATCTTTTTAATTTATTTATCAATTTTTTTTCTAAATCGAATTGTGAAAGACGACTTTAAAGAAGAATGTTTTGAAATAAATTTTTAACCGATTCTAATTTTTTTTAAGCGTTTGCCAAAAATAAGTTTTTAGTTGAAGTCCTGCTTTTGAAACATGTTCTTATAAAAAGAACAATAATAATTTGACAAATAAATTAAAAAACACATTTAAGTGATTTATGTATTTTAAGGGGAAAAATAAATTAGTAGTTAAAACATAAAAAAATAAAAAAAAAATCATGGTATTTCTTCAAGACATGCACCATATTAAATATTAAACTTGAGAAAGATGATTATTTAAATAAATCCCCCCACCCAATTGTATCTGCTCAGCTCAGCTGTATATATTGGTATCTGGTGCCTTCATTGATCCTGTCTGAATCATATCCCTAACAAGATTTTGGGATGATAAAGAATCGGACACACACAACAACAATACACATCCCTCTTAAGTGAACGCCAATCTATTGTTCGTAAGATATGCAACCCATCACATGTATTTAGGTGTGTCAAATATTTGAGGTTAGTCAATTACATGTCAGATTAAATAAATAATAGATAAAAAAATATGTAAATTCATACACGATCCATTTAATAGATGAGTGAAAAATATGTAAATTTATACACGACCTATATAATAAATAGATAACACAATATAACTCGTTTAATAGTTTTAATTTATTATAATATTTTGTGGCTATCACTAAATTTAAGAAAACAATTTTATGGCTATCACTAAAAAAAAAATCTTTCTAACTTTTTAAAATAATTATTAATTTATTATTATATTAATTTTATTCAAACGGATAAACGGGTGATAAATGAGTTGACATGACTCACCCAAAAAAGACCCGTTTATTAAACATGTTTAACAGATCAACCCGTTTAATTCCTGAACCTGTTAAGGTCTCATCTAAATCCGCTTAATTCATGTCAATTCGTGTTGATTAATCGTATCGTGCCAGACTTTGACAGACCTATCTGTATGTAAGACTCTTCGAGGATTAGATTAAAATTGAATTTTGTTATGTTCGAATTCAAATTTGACATAAAAGTAATGATTTTATTCAAACTTGTTCGTCCATTACTTTAGAAAATCAAAAATTTGATTTGAAAAATCCAAATATCTTAATTAAGCTTACTTTTAACAAATAAATATGAATTTTAAGTAAATTTTTATTAAAGAATATACACAACTTTGTTGTTTATATAAGACTATATATAATTTAAATTAAATTACAATAATTGTAATTTTCAATCCAATAATGTGAAATAGAATTTAATAATTTTGAACTCAAATTAGAAATATTAATCAAGAATATCATTTATATACAATTAATTGGATCTAAATTAGAATTACAAATATAGGAACTATACCGAAAAAATGAATTATAGCCGTAGATCTTGTGTTAATTATTTGTATTCAAAAATAAAAAAAAATAAAAAAACCTTTATACGTGTCAATTGTCATGCTCTTATCGGAAAAAAAATATATATATTTTAGCAAAAAAATAATATTTTTTGTAATTGACTTGAGACTTAATTTAAAAAATTAATGCATTTATACGATTAAATTAATAGAGCACTTTATTCAATACAATATCATCATGCATTTCGTAGTTTCTCTTACCGAAAAGTGGAGGATTAAAATGGGTTCAGTTCTTTTAAGAAGAATTGGTTGGTGGTCCCTCTTTTTTTATCTGTGAAAAAAAAAAATGGGTTCGGTTTACATGCATTTCGTACTTTCTCTTGCCTATAAGTACTTGAAGACAACCAGACACAGGGTGACATCTCTCTCTGTCTCTCTACACAGTTAGAAATACCCAGCACACACTATTCTGAAACTGGTATTGCATTGAACTTGTAGCCGGCGATAGAGAGATGGTCATAGCTCCGACGGGGTCAGTGAGAAGCGAAAGATTTTGATGGTGACGTGCTTTACTGTCAAGTGGGTGGTGGTGCTGGCGGTTGTGACGGCGTCGCTTCTGGTGTTGCCGCCGATACTGCCACCATTGCCTCCGCCGCCAATGTCGCTGATGTTGTTTCCGGTGGGGATAATGGCTTTTCTCACTTTCTTGGCTTTCTCCCCTGCCGACCGCACCGCCAATGCCGTTGTTTTCACCGTCTAAAGTCGGCCGGAATCGGGAATCCGGCGAAATTGTCTGTTTTTTCCAGAGAGCGAGTTCATTATAAATGTAAGATGCATCTTGTATGTATTATGTAATTATGAAAAGAAAATTGTGAACATCTCGCTAGATACATCGTTTCCGGCGACATTGAATGTTTTTGTAATGCTTGCATTGCTTATCATCAATTCATGGGAATAATGAGATCTTTCAAAACATTTTCTCTCACTTATTCTCCTTCATAGATCACCTCATGGGTCCCTTTCTTGTGAAAATATAATGAGATCTATGGGAAGAAATAGAGAAAAAATATTGAAGAAAATCAACATCTAAATTCTTTTTTTTTTTTTTGCTATTAACGTCTAAATTCTTACACTATAAATATCTATTGGATTTTATCTTCATATAATTTTATCGCTTATTTCTTTTCAAATCACCCATTTCTATTATAAGTTGAATTAATTTAATTTTCATTAATTTTGCCTCTGTTAAAACAATTTTTATTTCAGATATTCTTTGTATACGGTAGTGTATGTATGTGGATTTTTTTTTGAGGTAATGATTTTGAGAAAATGTTGTCGATTTTTTATAAAAAAGTAATGGGTAAAAATTAATTTTAAATTATATTATATAATAATAAAAAAAAAAGAAAAGAGAAATTATTATTTAATATAATAATATCAAATTTTTGAACTTTGAATTTTTATCGTACCGTGCTTTTAGGCATATATTATGGTTGATACATAAATAGTGGGGAAAGAATGGGTAAGATTATGCTACCCCAAAAAATTAATTTTCGGAAAAATGATTTTTTGGATTAAGTTACAATAAAATTTCGATTATGTTTAAGGTCTTATTAAAATTTTTTGGGTTGAAACTATATTTGCTCCTTAAAGTATATATTTTTTGTCAGTTTAGTATGTAAAATATCAATTTTTTTAATTTGATCCTTAAAGAATTCAATTTGTGTCAAAATAGTCATACATAAATGGACTATTAAGTTTTTGATAGAATGATCACGTGTGTTCGGCACATGATATTATTTGAACGAGTGATACGTGGTTATTTTCGTCAAAAAATTTAACGAATTATTTGATTAAGGATTAAAGTGATACAAATTAAATGTTTTAAGGACCAAATTGATAAAATTAATACTAATAAAAATTATATACTTTAAGAATTAAAAGTGCTATTAATTCAAGCTTCTTTATTATAATACTAGTTATTGTCTATGCCTGAAGACACAGAGTAATATAAAATGATAAATAATAAACATATTTATATTCATATCCAAAATCGAATCACAAACATAAAGAAGAGATAAAATAATTTAAACATAGATTTGTAGTGGGGACAAGAGGTGGTGGGCGACAGTGGTGGTGGTACGAGACAGTGATGATTGTGGTGGGTGACGGTGACGACAATGATGGTAGCGATGGTGGTGGTGGTGATGGTGATGATAGTGATGACGGCGACGGTGGTGGTGGCACTAGTGGTGGCGGCGGTGGTGGTAAAGGTAATAATGAGGTGATTTCAAACACAAATTTTTTTTTTTTTTTTGAAAGTGTTTATAAAAAATAATTTTTAGAAGTATTTTTAAAAAGTCATTCTAAACACACTTTTAAAGGTTTATTTTTCCTATTAAATTTAGGGTGTTAATATTAACTATTAAATTAACTTTAAAGTAAAATTTAAAGCGATCTCAACCGCGAACGAGTTCATTATAATGTGTTCGGCACATGATATTATTTGAAAAAGTGACACGTGGTTATTTTCGTCAAAAAATTTAATGAATTGTTTAATTAAGGATTAAAGTGATACAAATTAAATATTTTTAGGACTAAATTAATAAAATTAATATTTTAGGGATCAAAATAATAAAAAATATATACTTCAAACTAAAAGTGTTATTAACCCAAACTTTTTTATTGTAATATGGCCACAAAAAAACATTGTATTTTAAACTCAAAATATAGTAAACAAAGGTAATGTACCTCTATTGGTGCCAATGTATTACCCGTATACACCCACGGACTTGACTATGATATCGGAAAAAAAAAATTTGATATTATTTTTTTAAAAAATTATTATTTTTAGGTGTTTTTTCACAAATTTTGTGAGGTTTAGCCGGGGAATTTTTTGCTCACGAATTTAGACAAATGCAAGGCAAGAATCAACCCAAGATTTTACTTTAGAGGGGACAAAAACCAAAGTAAAAAATGAAAAAAATAAATTCCAAGACTTCTACTAATGAAAACTAAATTGAATGTTATTTCAATATAAAATTTTTTTATTTTAAACAAGAAAAATATTTTAAGATCCAAGAGATAATCCCTACTAGGTAAGGGGTGAGTGGACTCGCTTACTTACAAAAAAGAAAATTACTAGAATCAATAAACAAGATTTTATTTTAAAAACTTCAGAATTGCTGCCTTTTTTTTTNTTTTTTTTTTTTTTTTTTTTTTTTGAGGAGATTGTCTGAAGAAACTGATGTAAATTTCAAGCATTCAACTTACCTTTGTTCTCTCCTTTTTCTCATATTTTCCCATCTCTTCCGTTCAAGGGATGAAAGGCCCTCTACCCCCTCTCCCATGACTGATTCCTAATAAGGACTTTACTATTGCCCATATTTGGCTAATTTAACACATTTCATCTCTAGCAGCTAACTTTAAACATATTGGGTGGGAGGAGTATTTCTACTCTACAAATATCCATTTCCACCTTATTAAAATTTGTATAATTAAATTATTTAGTCCATTGCTTGTATACCTATCCAATTTTAATTAGGCCCACTTTATGCTAAACACCAATATTATCATAATCGGACCTGACATCGAACCGCAGGAGGACTGAGTCAATGATTCATGAATTCAACCGTTAAGTCAATTGGTCAGATATGTCGTATAATACAAAAATAAAATACATTATTAATAAAAATGAATATATCGAAAATTTTGAACAAGTACAAAAATAACATTTTTATGTTATGGTAGATAAAATAAGAACACAAAAAAAAAATCACAAATCTGGGTCTTCTCCGGAGACTGAGAGCTCTCTAGAGGGTTGCGTCAGATATGGGTTTTTTTTTAGATCTGGGTTTCTTCAGATCTAGATCATCCGTTGGCGACTTGAGCTCGTCTCCTCTGATGACTNTTCTCCGGAGACTGAGAGCTCTCTAGAGGGTTGCGTCAGATATGGGTTTTTTTTTGAGATCTGGATCATCCGTTGGCGACTTGAGCTCGTCTCCTCTGATGACTAGAGGTCAATTTTTTTTTTTTCACAGATCTGATGTATTTGTGTTAGATCCAAACATATTTGATCTATTTGTGTTAGATTTGGGGGATTCAAGGCATCATAGCAGTTCTATTTGTTGCTTGGATTATTGTGAATTTTTGTACAAACAGAGGTAAGGCCAAGAAAACCCCTTTGTTAATGTAATAAATCTGTGTGAATTTTTGATTTGTGTGTGAATGTTTGTACAAATTGGATTTTTTATGTTAATGATTTGGGTGTATTAGATTTTCTGTGTGTGAATTTTTGATTTGGGTATGTTGAAACCACTGAGATGGTGTATGTTGGGTGAATTTTTTTTTTTTTAATTTGTTTTGTATTTTATCAAGTTTAATTTAATATATTAGAAAATTTTTATATGAAACACTCAATCGAAAATGTTATATTATTTTTTGATTTATAAAATTTGATTATGCACAAATTGGTATTGTGCAAAATTAACAGTCAAAAATATGAACGGGTGCAGTCAATGAGTAATAAACAAACAATTCATGATAAAACAATGAATAATATAGAGATTTGTAGTGGTTCGATCCGGGTTATTTACTCTACTCTCGGAAATGACAGTGATGACCTAGGTCTTTTATTAATGAATGAAGTCACCGGAGAAAGTATTCTTCAGGAGTATTACAGTGCTTAGAGGGAGAGAGAGAGAAAGTGAGAGTAATGTGTGTAGGAATGTGTAGTATGTGTAGGGATCTCAAGGCGATAAAGGCCTTCCCTTTATGTGCAGAGGACTTTCATTATATAGGTTCACCAAGGCGGTGAAGCAGTGACGTGAGAAAGAGGTCTTCCACAATTTTGGTAATACAATCTTAGTTGAATTATATAGATTGTCTCGCTCGTATTCCTATTCTGTCGGAGGATGATGATGAGCTGGGCTGATCTTAACCTTGAGCTTAGACTTGGAGTGGGTTGGACTTGGGCTTGCATCAGAGTAAAGAGGATGTACGAGGACCAGGGAGTAGCCTTGGGCAGCGTTTGGCTTGGATGACCCCTGGGCAGTGTCCCAAGTGCTTTGGGCGTTGGCTCTTCGTACTTTGGGTGCTGACCTCTTGATGCCTTCCTGGGTTCCCCCATGACGGGTCGACCCAATCTTTGATTGGGCTTTCCATTGGGCTTATTTGAATGGGGCTTGGCCCAGTAAAATTCAAACTCATCATTTGCCCTTCATGCCCTAAGTCTTTGACTTTTTTTTCGAGAGAAAGGGGTTGAGGGCATGTCTTTCGTCTCATCTGGGTGAGTTGAAATTTTTCTGGTTTTACATGATATCTTTTCATCCTCAGGGATTCATTGAATTTTTCGATGTCAAACTTTTTTTTTTCTTTCTTTTTCTTCCTCCTTGGGCGTTGCTCCCTTTCTCCTTTTTTTGTTTTGTTTTTTCTTCCTTCCTTAGGCGTGGGCCTCCCTTTCTCTTTATTTTTTTCCCCTCTTCCTTCTTTCCTTGGGCGTGGCCATCCCCCTCTCTTTCTCTCTCTCTTTTTCTCTTCCTTTGGTCTGCTTGGGTGCCGTCCCTTGCTTCTTATCCTTTTTTTTTTCTTTGGCCTGGGCGCTGGCCTTTGCTTCTTCTCCTTTTATTTTTTTTCTTTCTTTGGCTTTGCTTGGGCACCGCCCCTTGGTTTTTTTTTTCTTTGGCCTGCTAGGGCGTCGCCTCTTTTTTTTTTCTCCTTGGTCTGCTTGGGTGCCACCCCTTGCTTCTTCTCCTTTTTTTT